GAGCGGCAAGTACCTGAGGTTCGCAGACTGGCGCTTCGTGCACCGTGCGCGCTTCGACGTGCTCGCCTTGAATGGGGCGCGTCGCTGCGGCGTCGGTGATCGAAGGTGCCGGCGATGCGGGTACGAGTCGGAGACTTTGCCCCATGTGCTCTGTCACTGCGGCCCCCTTTCGGCCGCTTTGCGGTTGCGACACAACACGATCGTGAGGAGATTTGCCGCGGCCTCCAGGCTACCGGGGGACGTGAGGGTCGACCGTCGCGTCCGGGGTGCCCCCGAAGACCTTGCGGCTCTGCGTCCCGACATTGTCGTGACGCACGAGCCCTCGAGGACCGTCGTCGTCGTGGACGTGACCGTTCCTTTCGATAACAACTTTTCGGCACTCGAGCGAGCTAGACTCGCCAAAATTGAAAAATACGCGCATCTGGCAGCCGCGTTAAGTAGGAACGATTACGTCGTGTACGTCGACGGCTTCGTTGTGGGTGCCCTGGGCGCCTGGCACCCTCACAACGATAGTCATCTCCCTCCTGCCCGTATCGCCGAGATACGCAGCTTTAATGAGGCGACTCATGGTATCGGAGACGGTCGCGTGGTATAGGGACATGTACGTTGAACATGTCACTGGTGTTCGGCAGTACAGCGCGCCGGGATCGGCCGCCCCGGGCGCAGCGGCCCTCGCGAGCGTTTTCCCAATCGGTACCGCGTCGGTTAACATCGGGACGTCGGGCCCTACAACCGCGTTCCAATCGATATCGGAATCCGGAACGATACGCCCGATACCGGGAACTCCCCCGCCCAGCGGGACATCGACGGGTGATTAGCGCGCGTGCACCTGCGCGCCAGCGGGATCACAAGCGATTCCCTCGCTGACCGAGTGCCGCCCCTGTGAACCGCAGTAGGGATGTCGGCACCCTACCTTGTATCAGTTAGCTTACGTTAGGATTGTATTGCTACTTCATTTATTGTACTTTAGAGACACATCGTTTTATTCTATTTATTTGTTTTGCTTTGTTTAGTTTTATTTTATTTTTGTATTTTATTCTATGTTTATGTATTACTATTATATTCCATTCTAGTCTATTCGGTATATAGCGAATGTGGCCATTATCATTGCCACTTTTATCACTAAAATAGCCACTCTGAACATGCTCTGGCATGCTCAGTAATGCTGTAAAAATTAAATCTCGTTCCTACTACTATTACTATTATTACTATTATTTTTTATTATCATTACTATTATTATCATTATTGTATGCTTCACTTTATTATATGTATGGTTTAGAGTCTAGTGTGCAATGTTGGATTGTTTGAGGTGAAAAGTGTGGAAAGACCGGTGCCGGCCTTTGCCTTTCTATGTATATATCGCTGGGCGAAGGCACTCGCGGTGTGCAATTTGTTCGGAAATGGGAGCGTTGTGTGTTGCAGGACGGCGAGTGTAACGGCAAAAAATAAATGAAGATCGGTGTTGCTATGGAGATGTTTGTAGGTGGTTGCCATAGAGATTCAACAAGTCTGCGAGCTTATAAATAAGAGTCGCAGAGTGGATTAGAACAGAAGAATAGAAGAATAAAAGAATATAAGAATATAAGAATATAGAGACAAAGAACATAAGAAGTGAATAGATAGAACATCGAATATTGTATCGTACGACTGGAAAAGAACTTGCAATTGTATGGGCAGTAAAAACGTTTGCGACAATATTTATTCGGTAGAAAATTCATCATTCAACAGACCACTATGCATTAAAATGACTTAAAAACGTAAAATACCCTTCCTCGAGACTTATGCGCTGGAGATTAAGACTTGAAGAATAGAGGAGAATGATATCAATTATAAGAAAGAAAAGGAGAACGCAGCCGCGGACGCCCTATCATGCTTATATCCATTGACCATAACCAATTGCTTCAACATTCCGACAAGATCCGATACCGGAAATTCCAATACCTAATTTAGAAGAAATAACAGAAGAAATAAAACACTTACTCCACAATCACTGAATCTCGACGAAATTATACATGGCGAATCATCTCTAACAGAAATAGAAAATTTGATCGGAGAACTTGAACTTGTGGAAGAAGGACCGCCAGATTACATTGACGAATACCGACACTTTAAGCAAAAAATAGCACAAGAAACTCACA